AATCAAATAATGTTCAAACTAACTATATCAACATCCAAAGCAAACACTCGAAACAAAAAAAGTCCAAAACAATTATTTTTTTTTTTTATTCTTCACGGAGCGAGTTCGGGGCGGGGCATCTCCAACCCACCCCACAAACCGCGCCACGCCAACCCTTTCGGGGCGGGTTTTTTTGGAGGGCGGGGAAAATTGCCAACCCTAGTTGGTATAGACACTATAATTAATTAAATTTTCATATCGTACGATAATATTTAATTGGCAAAATATTAATTTTACTAACTCCAATTTTTTATAAGGGTTGTTTGACCAAATTTTTGTTTAAAATATTAGTAGATTTTAATAAAAGATGATCAAATGATTAATTAAAAATTGTGAATATTCTCGTGAAATATATGGTTAAAATTAATTGTTAATTTCAACATCAACTTTTTAACAAGTTTTTAAACTATCCCAAACAAGCACTAATTACTCCATCGCCAATTCATACAGTATCGTTAGTTAACATGTTACTACGGTGTATATGTTATCATGTCGTGCGGTTGAGTATACTCTAGGCTAGATAGCGATAAATAAGATTTAAGAAAACAAAATACATTATTGTGATTAAGATTGATAAACAATAGAAATTAATACTATATTTTGGGTTACCTCAGTGGGTCATCCCAAAGAAAATGCCATTTTGGATCAAACGGGAGATGTTGAAAAGCTACGAGGACAGGGAGTTCAACACGTGTATCATTACATCTTTTGTACTTCTCTGTCCAAAAAAGTTATATGAATACAAGTGGATGAATAGAGAAGAGCGGACACTTAGATTAAGATCGTGTTTTACCTCATTTTTTGAAATTCATTTTTAGGCACCGTTTGGTAACCATTATTCTAGAAAAAAATGCATTCTTTATATCAAATCACACCTTTTTTGTAGTTTAAATTGAAGGAAAAATTATTGATGTGATGGAAAATATTATTNCTCTTCCTTCATCTTCTTCTTCTTCCTTCATCATCTTCTTCTTCCTTGGCGTAATCCGGCAACACAGGTCATGTTCACTTTCAAATTTTCCAAAAAATTCTTGCCGAGTCCGATTGAAAGTTGAAGAATCGGACCCGTATTCCGTACCGGTACCCGGGTCGTGTCGTGTCGTGTCGACACGGGTACTCCGGCCGAAATGGAGAGTCCGAGCAACATAGAATGAGAATAATAAGATACTAAATTGTAAGTTCTATAAAATACGTGGAGAAAATTTATGTTTGATTAGCTTAAATACTTTTAAGCATTGCCAAACATGTAGTTGGTGATCATGCAATTATTTTAAAAAATATATATTTGGCGAAAACTAGATCCCCGCCCTACCCCGCCCCGCCCCGCCTTGCCTTAGACGGGACGGGGAACGGGGCACAGTCTTGTCCCGTTTCCTGCCCCCTCTTTTTTTTTTTTTAATTAAAATACAAATTTTAAATTTTAAAATCCAAAACAAATAATGCTCATACTAACTATATCAATATTCAAAGCAAACACTCGAAACAAAAAATATCAAAAACAATTTTATTGTTTTATTCTTCACGGAGCGAGTTCGGGGTGGGGCATCTCCAACCCACCCCACGAACCGCGCCACGCCAACCCGTTCGGGGCGGGTTTTTTTGGAGGGCGGGGAAAATTGCCAACCCTAGTTGGTACAGACACTATAATTAATTAAATTTTCATATCGTAGAATAATATTTAATTGGCAAAATATTAATTTTACTAACTTCAATTTTTTATAAGGGTTGTTTGACCAAATTTTTAATTAAAATATTAGTAGATTTTAATAAAAGATGATCAAATGATTAATTAAAAATTGTGAATATTCTCGTGAAATATATGGTTAAAATTAATTGTTAATTTCGACATCAACTTTTTAACAAGTTTTTAAACTATCCCAAACAAGCACTAATTATGACATCATCAATTCATTCAGTGTCGTTAGTTAACATGTTACTACTGTGTATATGTTATCATGTGTTGCGGTTGAGTATACTCTAGGCTAGATAGCGATAAATAAGATTTAAGAAAACAAAATAAATTATTGTGATTAAGATTGATAAAC